AGTACCTCTGGTACAACATTTTTTGTCCCAAAAAGGGATAAACAAAGCTTCAGACGCCTGACCACAGAGCCCACCCCTGCTCTGCTGCTGCAGGGGTTGCCCCGCTCAGCAGGCTGCTCTCCTTGACTCAATACCCCAGGGTCATGCCAAGCACTGATTTCTCTGGTTTGGGATCCAGCAGAACATCTGCATCACCTAGGCCACCAAGGCTGGCTCAGCAAGCAGGGTGCAGCAGGAGTCTGAGAAACCTTATGTGCATAGGGAGGAGCTGTGGGATCCTAGAACCACACAGGCAGGAAATTCTAATCCCAGCCCTGCTGGAAACATTCTGGGTGGCCCCAACATGTTAATCCTCCTGGCAAACCTCTGCTTCCTCTTCTAAAGGCGGAGGTTGGAAAGAATAAACAATGAGAGTCTTACTAAAAACACAAAGTCCTCCTGAAAAAGCTGGTGTGAGTCCTTAGGGCCTTATATCTAGTTATCTAGCAAATAGGAGAGCCAGGGCTTGAATGTAGGTGTCCTAGTGTGGAGTCCATAGCTTTATCAATGAGAGAGAAATCTCCTGGTGGTGTGATAGATTTTCCAGCTTAACGCCAACATATCCTAAGTCTCCATTTCCTGCCAATGCCCAACCTAAGTGGGGGAAAACACCCTAGGTTCCAAGAGGCATGGTTTGCTTTTCTGGGCATTTTTTTTTCCCCTGTACTAGCTTTTGTCCTGCCAGAACAATGTTGTTGACTAGGCTTACTGAGGTTTTGAAGAAGTTTCTATTCAGTAGAAGAATGAGCAATTTCATTTTTGTTTCCTAGAATAGCAGAAAGGGCCTGGCCAGGGATTCACTGAAATCCTGACCAACTGCCCAAGATTCATGGTTTGTGTTTGTCCCCAAAGTCCCAGTCCATCTCAAGCAGCTGGTTTCTCCCCCCAGCCTGAGAATGAGACTACCCAGCCCCAAAGAGCCTCGTTCTTGTTTATCACCCGCATCTGGGCTCTGGTATAGGTTGGAGCAAAGAAAGCAAAAGCATCTTCTAATCCCAGTCCTCTTGGCCCACAGCCATCAAGGACCCTGACCCGACTGTGTACCAGCTGAGAAACTCTAAATCCAGAAACACTGTCTGCCTATTCACCGATTTTGATTCTAACACCAACGTGCCATTACAACTTACCAAGGATTCTGAAATGTTTGTCTCCAAAAACACTGTGCTGGACATGAAGTCCATGGATTCCAAGAGCAACGGCGCCTTGGCCTGGAGCAACAAAACTGACTTCACTTGTAAGAGTGCCTTCACCCAGAACATCTTCTTCCCCAGCTCAGGTGAGTAACCTCCCCCTTACCCTTACACACTCCATCTCCTTGTTTCCAGAGAAGCATGGTTCTACCCAAAGCTTAGGTTAATGATAGATGAAAGCTACTCTGATTGGTGCTCTCGGCTTCATCAATTGTCAGAAAATCTCCCATTTTCTTTTTACTAAGGAGCAGTGAGCCTCATCCTGAAGCCCATTTAAAGAAAAGGGCAATTAAGGGCAAAAAGAAGATGAGAGAGTAGGTGTAGAGGGTGGTGACCCAGCCTAGGTCTCACCTGCTCTGTGAGGTCTGGCCTCCCAGCCTTTGCTTAGGCACAGGACCATGCATCAGTGAAGGGTCTGCCCTGAGGAAGCTCCATTCCAATTAGGGAAGACCATCCCTCAGCAGAGGGAACTCTGTATAATTTCAGATTGTAATGTGTACTTTAACTTAGACTTAAAGAAAGAGTCACCTTAGGGTAAAGGGTTCTGAAAAAAATGCTACTGAGCTGGGTTAAAGAATAACAAGGTACCCACATGCCATGCCAGAGAGAGAACCCCATGGAGGCCTGAGACAGGACCATGCTGACAGCTGGGAAAAGCAGCAGAAAATGAGTTAGAAAATGTAAGCATGGGCCAGGAAACAGAGCTTCAAGACCATGAGAGGATAGATAACTATTTTACTTATTGGGAAGCTATTAATTGGTTGTGACTGGGGGTGGGAGGGAGGGGTGACCCCTAAAATGTGGAGAATGGTGTGTGGAGAATGGTCCAGAGTGGAAGAAGAAAGGAAGCAATAGCAGCAGAGAGAGATGACGGAGGCCTGGGCAGGGTGGTAGCACTTGGGTTTCAAGGATGAAACCACTTAGAGATGAGAAAGAAAATAGGGCATTGAGGAAGGTGGCTGGATTCAAAGCTGAGCAACTAAGTCAGTGAGAGAGAAAACAGAGAAACAAAGTTGGAATACAAGGATCAAAATTTTTTGGAACACATTTAAGTATCTATCGCCCTATTGTTCTTATCACTGTTTTGGTCTCACTTCCCTGGTTAGACTCCACACTGCAGCCTGACCAAGGGCAGGCTCTATCTTAAGGTCTCCCTGTGGCCCATGTCATACAACCTGCACTTTGCACAGCCAGTGTTTGCTGAGTCAGTGCAATGGTGCCCAGAAGCCAGAGTGTTTGGTCCTCAGGCCTCCTCCTGGGGAGGTGCCCCTGTGCAATAAGTTCCTTCCAGATCTCTCCCTAAGAAAGCATGGAAAGGCTATAGATACTCACCAGCCCAGCAACCAGGAGGTTTGGGATGGGAGAGTCAGCATGCTCTGGACTCTAAGAAAAACTCTTGTTTCTCCTTTTAGAGATTCCCTGTGATGCGAAGTTGGTAGAGAAAAGCTTTGAAACAGGTAAGAGAAAGGTCTATCCAGCTTGTCACAGCACTGGGGAGGCAACAAACCCACAATAACTCTAACTAGATAGGGTAGGGGCAGGGGGAATAGATCTGGGAATGAAGTCGTGAGGAGGAGAATAGCAGCTATGACCTGCCTGGAGCTGCCTGGGGTCGGTCTCAAGTCCACCTCAAAATGTCGAATTTTCTTTTCCATTCCAAGTACTTTGAGGATGAGTCTCCAGTTTTACTCAGCCTAGGCCTCTGTATTGCTTTCAACAGCTCCCATCAGGAGAACCAAAGAGAGCTGCTGGGTATTCAGCTGTGAACTTTCTGACTCCCTTAGGGATATCCCTGAATCAATCAGGTCATCCCAGGGACATTTCCCCCTCCAAAACCAGCAGAACTTACATGGTTTGTGGGCAGGAGTCCTGTTTCTCAAGGACCCCCACCAATCCTCACCCCCTGGCCCCACTTCCACGTAAGTTGTTCCTCCTCAATCATCCCTCCTGTGGTTCAGCCACTTGTCTCACTAAAGGACTGGGACCCAAGGGATGATAGTGATAAATTCTGAGCACCTATTCTTACCCCAACCCCATCCCCACAGGGGCTCAGAAAGAAAACAAGGAGCAACCCCAGTAGGTGTTTTTGTTTTGTTTTAAACCTGGAGGAATGCACAAATATATTTACACAGTATATAAATATATTTACACAAGGAGCTCAAAAAATGAGGTGGATCCAGGAGCTGAAACTCACCCCCCACCTGCCCCACCCCGCTTTGGGAAAAGCCGTTGGTATCCTAAGGAGCTTTGCAGACCTCTGGTGCGTGTGCCTATAACGGCTGTGGTCTCTCTGTTTTACAGATATAAACCTAAACTTTCAAAACCTGTCAGTGATGGGGCTCCGCATCCTCCTCCTGAAAGTGGCTGGCTTTAACGTACTCATGACGCTACGGCTGTGGTCCAACTGAGGTGAGGGGGCTTCCAAGCTGGGGGTGGGGGTGGGGTGCCTCCGATGAGTCTCCAACTGTGAGAGAAAAACCTCCCTGCAGGGAGATGCTTTTAAATTCTAACACTGGGACCATCTCACTCGTCCATTTCTTCCTATCACAAATTCCTGTTGTTAAAAAACAATGGCCTGAAACATTCCTATGACAAAACACTCATTTTGGCCTCCTCAGTTGAGCCAGTCTCCCTATGAGGCATGAAGAACCGTTGTTATATCCCCATTCTAGAACACCAGGGCCGAGGAATATCAAGGCCCACACAGCTAATGAGTGAAAGAATAGAGGGGCTCAGACCCCAATTCGCTTATACCACATGCCTTCTGTTGTCCCTCTTTCACTGTGTAACTAAAGGAGCCCCAATTCCTTTAAATAGTTCTCTCAGCTTCAGTGATGAGCCATCATTGAAGCCCACGGAACCATCTCTATCACATCCCTAACAGTACTGTTTAGCATCCAGCCTGACTTCTGATCTTCCTCGTTCCAGGTCGGCAAGATTATAAGGACCTGAGCTCCCTCATCCTTCCTCCTCTTCCCTCCTCTCTCTTCTTCAAGCAAAGGGAATCTCCCACCTCCATGAAGAAGGCGGCTCCATTGCCTTTTTGGCCCCCACTGACAAAGCCACCAACTGGATCTACCCAAATTTGTCATGAAGATTGCTAAAGAGCTGCCAAACGCTGCTGCCACCCCCTCCATTCCCAGACTGCTGCTTGTCACCATTCTCAGCAAAAGTAGGGGCTGCTGCAGCCTCTCCTAGCTGTGGAGAATCCCTCCCCCTCCCCAGAGACTGCCTCTGATGGATCCCCCTGGGGTTTCTTAGACTTTAGTTCCTGGAGAATGTTCTCCAGTTTATATTTTTTAAACATTGTTCATAAAGAAGTACTTTATTATTCTTTTTCTCAAGATGTGGGGAAAATTAGCTCATTATCTAGGTCCTGCTATGCTGTGTATCTGAGGCACATTGTGTATTATTCTGCTACTCGCGGCTTCATTAAAAATGATTTAGAAGAGCAGAGACTGTGCTCCTGTTTGATTGGGTTTGGTTGGGATCAATTTCAGTATGCTGTTAAGAGACAAACCAAGACATGTGTCTACCATGCTATCCAGGAAGCCTAACTCAACAGGCTGCTTAAGTCAACTTCTCCTTAGAATAACCTCTAAAAAATTCCACTCAGCAAGCTGTTCTGGGGGCCAAGAAAACCCTCTTACAAGCTTGGGCCCTGCACTTCTGTTTTCTTGCCACACCACTGGGCCAAGCAGGAGGCCCACACACATAAATGTTAGTGACCGGTAGTTGAAATTCAACAGACAGGGACCACACAGCAAATGTCCCCCAAATGCCACTGTTTCCTGCCCTCCACGAACTTTTTTTCTTTTTTTTTTTTTTTTTTTTTTTTTGCCTTTTCTCTCAGATCATTGAAACTGTGCATTGCCCACAAATTCATGGCTGGGGACTACTCACCATTGCCCTGCTCAGATCCCAGGCCCATGCCCAGCCCCTGAGGTGCCCAATCTTAGAACTGGGTTGGGAGAAATTGTGACCCCAGCAGGAATTTCCATTTCAACCTTCTGGACATGAGTATAAGGAAAGGGGAGATGAGTTCCCTACTCAAGCCAAGGACTTGGCCTAGGAGAACAGATGTCTCAGGCTCCAACCTCAAGGATAAGAAATAGGATTCCCTGGAGCCCCATAGCATACTACTCCAGAGAACCTTTCCCCAGAGTTGGGGATGCTGATGGGAACACACCTCAGAGACCACTCAGCCATCCACCCAACAGCTACTCAACCAAGACCAAAGGGAAGTGCTCACTCATTCCCAGAGTGGGAGGGTGTTCCTTCCTCAAATGGCTATATGGTTCACCTGGGTAGCTCTGTCCACACCAGCTGAAAATTCAGCTGCAATTCAGGTCTGCTTCTTTTCATAGGAATGGAGCTTTAAGAGGTGACCTGGGGCATGAACTCCCCTCTGTGAGCTTCAGGGTCATCCCCTATAAAATGTCAGGTAGGACCAGAGGTTACCTGAAGCTCCATGCATCTCTGATTCTGTAACCCCTATAGAACTAAGAACCAGCATCCCTGGTTAGCCCTACTCAGGGTAGTAACAGAATCCCCAGTTCTTCCTAATCTGTCTCATCTCCAGCCTAAATAGAATCCCTTAAAGATTACTAAAGGGATGTACTCAGGAAATGTCATCATAGCAGGTCACTCTCACACTTGGGAGGATGGGTACTACTTTTCCCATGAGGGATTTGCCACCTGCAGGGTACTTGAGGCTTCTTGAGCCTTCCTTAAAACTGTATCCTGGAGTGTCTGACACAATGCCAGAGATTCTACCACTGGGAATTTCTTTTAATTAAAGCATTCTCTTCCCTTTATTAAATGAAAATGCCCCTGGGAGGGTTAGTAGAGCAAGCCTTTATCAACCTTTAAAAACTTAGGACAAATTAGTTCATCTTCCCTCCCCACCTCCCAAGTGGCAATTCACTTTATTCTGCATAAAAAAAGATCCCAACAAAGAAAGGTGGTGGTTGGGGAGGCAGGTCCACTCTTGAGAGTTGGGTCCCATTACTCTGTGGCTGAAAGGAATTTGAGAGCTCTGGGTAGGGATTAGAAGCCTGTCAGAGAGTGAAAGGGCCAAAGACAGAGGCCTCCTTGAAACATGGAGAAGGTGCAAGCTATAAAGAAGGCCTATGGGAGCCTGTAGAGCCATGCCAGCTCACTGCCCTCAAATGGCAGGGCCCAGTAGTCACTGGAACCCTGGAGAACCCGAGGACCAACACAAGGTGATTCAGCAGAGGCTCCAAGCAGGCCATCTAGAAAGCAGGATGAACTCCAAAGCCTGAAAAGTTTCCATCTAAAATCCAGGGTTCCTTGGTCTCAGCAAGAACCTGCCCTCACATCTGAGGCTGTTAAGCCTAAAGCCAGCAAGGGCTGAGGTCAGAGAGGTAGATGAGGAGCAATCGATAAAGGGTCAGCAAGTGTTGGGGCATGGGCAGAAACTCCATCCACCTTTGACCACTCTGTTCTCATGTCAGGCTACAGGCACCACCTGGGATATCTAGGAGCATTGAAGTGGCCTGTGAAGAGGCCCACAATAAGGGTTCCTGTACCCACCAGAAGGGTCAGCTCTGGGCCTAATACAACCATTGCAGGGTCCCTCAGTATGGAGGGCCCAAATGTAATAAGTGGGCATTGTTTAGCCTGAAGGGAAAAGGCAGCTGAGGAAAACTGGAAGCATGGTCAGAGCCCCAGGCCCTATGAGCCAAGGCCTTGGGCTACAGCTGCAGACTGACCAGCTTGAACCCAACCTCATGGAAACAAGGCTGACAACTCAGCAAAGAACATGTTATCAGGGCCAGCTACAGAATGGATTTCTCTGGAAAGATGCCCCACTACCCCAAAGGTCAGCATTGGAGGCAGATAAATGGGCCCAAATGACCTCATGATACAGGCCTAAGTCTATGGAGTGTTGTCTGCAACTTCCCTCAGAGATCTGCCCTCTTAGAGCAACTGGAGTCAAAGTCCAGACAGGAAAAATGCAGGTTAAATAAGGTTGTGCTTCAGGAGCATCCAGAGTCTTCAATTCCCACAGAGTGGCCCCCCTTGCTATTACCTACCATTAGACAGGCAGCCACCCGAGTCTTAAAGGACTTTTGTGTGTGTCTCCCATAAACTTGAACTCCTCCAGGTCACATGTAAAACCCTAATATCACCTTATTAAGATTAAGTAACATCTTAGCAAAGAATTCCAGCAGACTTACAAAGCTTATGTCCAGCCCATCCTCCCCTTGTGGTAGGAAGAGTGCCTTGGTAATGGTGTGTCCCCAGTGGTTAGCACTGTGCCTGGCACACAGCAGATGCCACTAAATAAACAAATGAATTATTAGCACCATTAGGCACTGGGTAGGAAGCAGAATTTGAGGGTTGGGGAGTATAGGAGAAAGTGGGGATTCAGAGAGGAGGTGGCCAGGTAAACCAGTTTCACAGTTTTACTGGGTGCCAAGAGTAACTTGACCAGACACATTAAAAAATAAAAAAAAAAATTTAAAAACCTGAGTGGTGGCCAAGGGCCAGGACAGCCCCAGCCAGGCATTCATCCACCCAACAAAGCCTGGAGAAGTAACTCTGGGAAGCACACAGGCTCTCGGGAGTCTGAGCTCCAGTCACATGTGACCACACTAAGGTCCAGGGCCCAATGTCACTTCACTGATCCACTTCAGCTTCTCCACATGACCCACCCTAAACCCAGTCTCCAGTCCACCTCCTCATGTAACATGGGGGAAGAAGGTGAAGTGAGCCACACTGAGACCCAGAGCCATCCTTCCTGCTAATAAACATACTAATTGCTGCAGGGGGTAGGGGGTTGGGAGGGCTGCAGGACAGCCAGTGCCTTCCCTCTGTGTAGAGGCCACTTGGGCAACAAGGCAGCCTACAGGCCTCCTCCACACAGACACACACATACATAGGGTTTCCTCTGAGCATCACACAGAAAACTGCATTTTGAAATTAATAAACAGGTCAGACATTGAGTCAGTAGCCAGAAGTAGAACAGGAAGTGGAAAAAGGCTCCCACTTCCCTCCAGGTGTTTGGGGCTGGGCAGCCCCCTCCCCTTTCCATGACGTTATGGTTGCTGACAGGGGCAAATAGGGCACCCTTTGAAGCCTGCCCACAGAAGCCACATCCTCTGGAAAGAAAAGTTAAAAATACAGAGTTAGAGATAACATCTCCCCAAGCCACGTGCCAAGAGGAGGCAGGCTGGGCCGTTACACTACCCCCAACCGCAGGTGCAATAAGAAGGCTACCAAACCACATTGGGCGGGGCTGGCAGGCCCCTCTGCTGACTAGCACTCACACCCACACCCCCACAGCAGTGGGGGAGGTGCTGTCCCCCACTGCTGAGAAGCCTCCCTCACCCATCTCTGCCACCCCAAGATCAAACCTTTTCAGACACTTAGTCAAGGACAGATTTACAAAGCTTATGTCCAGCCCATCCTCCCCTGGGCAGGAGGGATGTGAGAGGATACCTCTGACCACACTCACAACTGGGCTGGTTCTCTGAAGGGCATTGTCCCCCAGGGGCCCCACCTTCACTTGCCTCCATTCCAAGTTGAGACTGAAGTACAGGCAATGGCCCTGTGGACCTCTGCTCCTCCGGGACCAGGAGACCAGGACACTAACTACAAGAGAGGAGGCAAATAAGCAGAGACCTGAAAAACACCAGGCTTTATGTCTTGTTTTGTGGTAATGTCCCAAGCCACCCACCTGGGGGCAGCAGTGCTCCACCAAAAAGGCCTCTCATGCCCTTGCTCTGTTTATTCTAGGGAGGGAAAGTCCCCAAAGTTTAGGAAAACCTCTTTTCAAAGGAAAATAAGATGGCAGGTGACTTCTGTTGTTTCACAGGCCCCTAATTGGTGCCAGACAGTCACTGCACTGGGGCTTCAGGCCTGCATGATCCTGTAGCCCTACAGAAGAGAGGAGTAGGGTCAGGCCCTCAGGCTGCAGGGGGCACTACCTGCCCAGGATATGAGACCAACTTGACTAAAGGCAGCCCAAAGAGAAGCTGGAGGTGCACTGCTGAGAGTTTCCAATCAGGATCAGGGAGCCTGGGCCAGCCCAGCATCCATGGTTTTCCTGGCCTCTTGCCCTGGACAGGTCACTGACCACCTACAGCCTGCTTCCCAGTGGGGTCCAACATTCTTTTCTAAGCTTTCTTTCACATAGTATACCTGCCATGTGCCAGACACTGCAGAAACTGTGCCAGACTCTGGGGATTTGGCCTCTGTACAAACAATGTGACTCCACACAGATAAAATTCAAAAGCAATTACTGGTGATAAATACTGGAACATGGGTTACCTCTAGGGTAGAAGGACTGATTGGAAAGGGGCACAGGAGAACCTCTTGAGGCAGAGGTTCTACATCTATTTCTGGGTTATGAGCATGTGGGATGTACACATGGCAAAGAGACATAAAAGTAAGATTATGTGTATAAATTACATCTCAATAAAGTACTG